AGCAGCCACTCCCTGCCTCACGGAGGGGGCCACGGCCAACACCCCCGCCCTGGGCCCAGCCGGCAGGATACCCCCGCACTGGACACAGCAGGGACCAAGGACAAAAGCAAGTGCTGGCACAGTCTGTCCTGCCACGTCCCCGACCAACACGGCCGCAGTCCTCACTTTGCTCTAACTTCCAGACACCCAGTCGGGGCTCAGTGACCGTCTGGTGCGTGCATCGCAGCCAGACGACAGAAGCCCCGAGGGCAGAGATGCAGAAACGAGGTCTGCTGGACTTTATTTATACCTCAGAGACCTTTTCGTTTTGTTCTATGGCTGCAGTTTCAGCCTAGTTTCTGCTTCCCAATTTTATCTGCTTCCTAATCCGCTTCCCAACTTCGTCCACTTTAAGCTACGTTAAAGCGAGCTCGAAGCCGCAGGGACACGGCGGATGGGCTAACAGAGGCCTGCAGTTATACAGAAGGCCACTCGAAGTGGCCAGGCCCTGTGGTCCGTGCACGGGAGCCCGGTGGGGCTGCTTGGACACGGCCCACCCTCGGGTGACCGGGTGTGCAGCTGTGGGGCTGAGCCTGGAACCGGGCACTGACCGGCCCGGGAGCCACAGCCGGGGCAGGGCTGCAGGCACATGTGAGGCCAAGGAACCAGACCAGCCTCTGCTGGGCAGTGGACGCCCCTCGGGTGGCCCAGGCAGGTGCTCCCCCGCCAGGTGTGCACACACCTGTGGATGATGTGCTGGCTGCGCAAGTAGTCCAGGGCCAGGGCCATCTCGCAGATGTACAGCCGCACCGTGTCCTCGGAGAACTGCACGTTCTGCTGCAGGTGGTAGCGCAGGTCCCCGCCCAGGAGCAGGTCCACCACCATGAACATGTCCTCCTCGTCCTGGAAGGAGTACCTGCGGGCACCCAGCGGGGGTCTGGCACACACGTGGCCGGGGAGCCAGACACGCTCCCACCACAGCCGACGCACCGCGTCTAAGCAGCGCCCTGCCCAAGGCGCCGACTCCACCCTGTTCGGAGCTGCTCAGAGCCCAGCCCCTCGGCCCAGCTGGGGCCAGAGACACCTGTGAGTGACAACTGGGGAGCAGAAATAGCAGCGCACGTCTCCGGGTTGTTTCGGGCTGCCCTGATTTCCTTTTCTGTAAAATGGGGATAAAAATATCTGCCTTGGAAGATTGTTAAAGAAAATGAGGCAGTGTGGGTGAAATCCTTGCCCAGTGCCGGGCAAGCGGCTGGCACTTAATAGCCAGCAGCCACAGGGGTGGTGACGGTGGTGGTGATGGTGATGATGAAGATGGTGGTGATAGTGGTGATGATGGTGGTGATGATGATGGTAGTGATGATGATGGTGGTGGTGGTGGTGGTGATGGTGATGATGAAGATGGTGATGATGGTAGTGATGATGATGGTGGTGGTGGTGATGATGAAAATAGTGATGATAGTAGTGATGATGGTGATCATGGTGGTGATGATGAAGATGATGATGATGGTGACGGTAGTGATGTTGATGGTGGTGATGATGAAGATGATGAAGGCTATAGCAAAACAATACTTTTAGGATTTTCTTCCACTTTGCAATTTGTTTTGTGAGCTCCCACAGATAACTGTAGTTGTTAAATGACTGGATCTTTCAAGAATAAAGTCATAAGAACTCTTCTTCATGTGATGTCCCTCTAGGTGCCCCCCAAGTGTCCCACCTTGATCCTCAGTGAAGGGTGGCCTGGAGAGGGTGGTGCAGGTTGGGGCCTGGGGAAGAGGCGTGGGGATAGAGCCGCAGAGCAAAGGGACCTAGGATGCCAGGCTCCAGGAGGAGCCCAGGACCCTGGAGAGCAGTGGACAAGGGCAGGTGACCTCCCACAGCTGGAGGCAAGGCTGTGATGGCCCTGCCCTTCATAGCCCCAGGAGGGCAGGAGACATCCCTGGCAGGCTGGCCTGTCGGGGTGCGGACATGCGCTGAAGCAGAAGGGGAAGGAAAAGCTTCAGCCCAGGAGCCCACGACCTAACCATGGGGCCACACGGCCTCCCGGACAGCCCCAGGCCCCAGAAGAGGGAAACCTTGGTTTGCCCTCTTTGCAAGAAGCCTCAGTGCCAACGTTGCTGCTGAGTGTCAACCCAGATGGCAGCCCGTCCTGGGGACTTGCGGGCCAGCCCACAGTGAGCTCCTCTCCTCCCCAGTGATACCCAGGAGTAATCACCCCATTTGAGGATGAGGGATCTGACCCAGGCCTGACCCACTCTGTCCATCGGGTGTCAGGGCAGGTTCAAGGGGCTCTCGGTGCTTGGACACCCCTTTGCCAGGATGCTGAAGACAAGACCACTTGCCATAAAGCCAGGGTCCGGCCCTGCCAGCCCTTGGCCTGCCTGGAGACCAGATGGCCGTGAGTGCCCTGGCGGCCACAGTGGTGAGGATAGTGGCCATGTGCTGACGGGGTGTGGGGAGGACAAGGCCTCATGCTGGGGAGGGCCGCGGCCATTCCTTGTGCTCCCCACACCCGGGGCCGAGGCCTTCGTGGGCATCTGTGTCTGCCCAGAGCCCGAAGGCCGGGCTCCCAGCACGGCACGGCCCAGCTCCTTCCCCCCCAGCAACTGTGGAGTGGAGCCACGTGACGCCGTTTCTGAGCCACACCGCACGGCCTCTGGGAAGTGGCCACGTCCACTTTGGTGTCCTTCTTCCTACTGCAGTGACCCAGGTAAACAGCCAGGCGGGGCAGGTCTGGGATCTGAGTGAGTCCCGGGAACAGCTGGCTCCAGACCCCCTGCCAACGAGGACGCCCGGCCCTGCTCCCTGCTATCCCTAAGCACAGCCCGGCTGCCCCCTCCTTTAAGTTTGGCTAATGGAGGGGGGAGGGGGGATTTAAATCTTCCAGAGGCTGCTCGGCCAGGACCGGGACTAGGACCACGACGGTTTGTCATGTGACTCTCTGGCTGCTAGGAACGTCCTGTGCTCTGTGGGAGCTTCTGGGGAAAACGCCCACGTGTGAGCACATCGCAGAGCGCAGAGCACAGAGCCCACTACAGGAGGCAGTCGGGGAGGACCCTTGCACGAGGGAGGACTCCCAAGAAGGTCAGGCATGAACCCCCAGCAGTCTGCAGCTCCTACACGTCCCGGAGCGGGTCTCGGCGCTCATTTTCTGAGAGGAACCCAAGATAGGCCCCTCAACTCCCCCCAGCTGACAGTGTCCCTTCCTTGCAGGGAGGCCGCGGGCTTCCGGCAGGCCTGGGGGGGGCACTGCGTTAACCCCAGCATGCCGTGGACGCCTGAACCCTGCTGGCCTGGGGTACGGGAAGGTGAATGGACGGGATGGGGCGGGCAGGGCCTGTGGGTGTCGGGGTGACCCTGCGGCACAAGAGCCCGAAGAGATGGGAGGTGCAGCCCCCTCACCAGCTCGCGGGGTGGGAGGTCTCCCTGCAGCGGGGCTGCCCCGCAGGTGAGCTCACCAGAGGTTCACCAGGAAGACGTGCTCGACCTCCTGCAGGATCTCCAGCTCCCGGAAGACGTTGCGGACCTCGTCGCGCTCGATGCACTGCTGCTTGTTCATGTACTTCATGGCGTACATCTTCTCCGTGTCCCGCTTCTGCACAATGCACACCTGGAGGGCAGAGGGCGGCTCGGCACAGACACGGGGACACGAGCTCCGAGGCCCCCTCTGCCTCCTGGACGCGGCAGAAGCACCGCAGAAAATCCTGGCATTCCAGACTGGCATGAACGGGCACCTTCCGCGAGAAGCCGGGACCCAGCCCAGGAGCGCCCAGGTGCACGGGGGCTGTTGGCCCAGGGGCTGCCCCCACCAGCCACGACCCAACAGGTGGCTTCACCTTGCCACGTCCCGGTGCTGCCTTCCCGGGGCTCGGAGAAGCAGCGTCTTGGGGCTGCTGGGGAATGACTGGGAGGACGCGCCTCGACAGGCCCTGCACCTGGGAAGCCGCACCAGCCACCTGCCACCTGCCCGGACACGCACCGCCTCGGGTCTCGGAAGACCCCCTCCAGTCCCAGCATGGCAAGAGGCAAGTCCCCTCCACATCGTCCTGCGAGGACGAGGCTCGCGGGACAAACCCACAGGCGCCAGGTTCCCATCACGACAGAGCCCTCCGTGACGGCGGTCCCTGCACACTCGAGGTGCAAAACCCTCTGAGCAGCGAGCTGTCAGTGTCAACGAGCGGGGCTGGTGTCGCGCAGAAACCGCTAAGATGGCGCTAATTGCTTGCAGAGAGGATCAGTGTGACAGAGCAGTGAGAAGCATAAGACCAGCCGGGCGTCCCTTGTGGCCAAGGAACGTCAGTCAGAATCGAGGGCAAAGATCCCCAAAGTGAGCCGGGAGCCGCGGTACGAAATCGCGGGCTACAGAGCCAGCAACGCTTCTCCCGTGCAAGCCGTGGAGAGACCGCTGCAGGACAGGTGGCCAGGGTCACTCCTGAGGCCTCGACACCCTCTGGTCTCGGTCGTTAAGGGGCCGACCCGGGGCTGGGGTCTGGGGAGGGCGGTCCTGCCAGTGCTGCCGCAGGAAATCCCTTTCCTTCTGAGGAAGGCATGTGCTGAGAAGAGTTTATGAGAAATGTCTTCTGGTTTCAAATTTTTCTTCGAAGACGACCATGACTAAGGCTGGGCACACGGCAACCACCGAGTCCAGGAACCTCCCTGCAGGAGGCGTCCCCCACAGGCGCAGATGCCGCTGCCCCAAATCCCGGAATCCCGAATCTCCTTTCTATCATGTGTCGCCCGAGATTCCTCACGCCATCCTCAAGGGACACCGCAGGGTTCTCTGGACTTGTCGCCCCGCATCCCGCCGGGGTGGACGCTGGCCTTGGACCCCGTCCCCTGGCTGCAGGGACTCTCCCTTGGACCAGGGAGCCGCTGTACGAGGGATCCACGGTGAGCTTGGCTGTGTGCCGGAGGCTCAGGCTGGCCTCAGTTTCCCCTGCGGTTCAGCCCTCCTCCTGGCTATCGATCCTAAGCGTATTATTAAACCAAGTAAGAATAACACAGCAATGCACGTTACTCAGTATGAAAACGCAAACAGTGCCAAGGGGGAGTAAACAGTAAAAGAATCAGCTGGAAAGAGTTGAAGGCGGCTGCCTCTAGGGAGGGCAGGTGGGCGAGCAGGGCAAAGAACTGTGTTTTTCATATGAGCTTTGTAAAACTACCTGTATTTGACTCTTAAACTGTATGCATCAGTAACTTTGATGTTAAGAAAATTAAAATAGCTAAATGATGGACAGATCTTTGCCCTCGATTCTGAATGACGTTCCTTGGCCACAAGGGACCCTGCCGGGCTACAGAAGGGCCCAGACAGTGCCGTCTGTGGGCTTCCAACCCTCACCCCCATGCCCTTCTCTGTTTCAAAGACTGGCGACTGCACCCAAAGCCTCCACAACAGGGACCCTTTCAAGGTGTCTGCACGTGTTTTGCCATCTTCTTTGGTAACCAGAGCCCATTTTGGGGCCATCTGGAAAGGCACCTGCTGAGACAGGCTGGTAATTACGGAACTTGCAGGCCCCGGGTCTCCCTGACGTCCGCACGACCGAAGTTGCCCAGCAAATCTATCCGTAAGCAAAGCTGGCTGCGCTCTAAGGCCCATCCCGCTGCCGAGGCACACCGCCTTCAGGGAGCCCACCGAGGCTGCAGGTCGCAGCTCGGCTGCAGGGAGGGCAGCCGCCTGTCTCCCGCAGAAAACCCGGACGCGTCTTCCCCCACAAGTGGGCCGTGAGGTTCTGCACACCAGGCGGCCTCCGTCTCCGGCTCCACCACAATTCAAGAAAAGCTTGTGAGTCTGCGTGGCAGCCCGGTGCAAGGTGACACACCACGCTTCCTCCCTGGTCCCCTCGCGGTCACGCTTCCTCCCTGGTCCCCTCGTGGTGACGCCTCCAGCCACCCCACGGTGGGTCCACATGTGCCCCTCAATGACCCAGGGTGTGGCCTTGTCTGGGGTAAGGGTCTAGGAGATGTCGTTAAGCTGAAGATCTGGAGATCGTGGGTCCGGCTGGGTCCTAAAGCCGAGGACGGTGTCCTCTCGGAGAGACAATCGGAGACTCGGGTGAGCGACGGAAGATACTGACCTGGAAGACGGGGCGCGGCTATGAGCCGACGGCGGCAGCCCCGGGAGCTCGGGAGCAGCACGGAAGGTTCCTCCCTGAGAGCTCCGGAGCCTCCCGCCCCGATTTCAGACTTCCCGTCTCCAGACTGAGAGAGAACCGTCTCTGCTGCAGCAGCCCGAGCCACACGCGCGCCAGTCCGTGAAACACCCGCCTCCCTTGTGCGTCTGTGGCCTCCCTGCCGCAGCGCCTGGGCACCGCGCTGTCCTCCCCACCTGCCAGCCGGCCACGTTGTCGGGCCCCATCCGGCCACTTCCTCCCGCGCCCCCCGGGTTCGGGGCCTTGCCCGGGGGGCCCGGGCCCGTTGGGGCCGGTGGGTTTTTTGGACGGTGCCCGGTTTTCCCCTAAAATGAACGTGATTCCGTCAATCCCATCAGCGCCCAGCCAGGGGGGCTGAGCCGTCTCGGGCTCACTGGGCCGACGGGAGGCTCCGCGTGGTGTGGCCCCTGCTCAGGGGGCCCTCGGAACGAAGACTTGTGGCTGAGCCTGGGCCCCACTAAACTACTTCCTGACAAAACTGGTCTCCACTCCCCAGGCTGCTCCCCGCAGGGATCGGCTGAAGCCCAGCTGGTCCCGCCCCGGGTTTCCGAGGGAGATGCCACCAGCACAGCACAGCCCAGGGCCGGAGGGACGGACGCGGTGTGATTGCCACTTTAACTGAACGCTGTTGACGTGTTTTGCAGATTTAGGTGATTCACCCCAAGCTCCTTTTCTTTCCAAGTAATTTCTGCTCCCCAGAAAGCAACGCCTGAGGACAGGTACTCAGAGCCTCTGAACATCGTAACAAAACCGCCTCCTGGACCCGCCCGGGGGAGCTTCCAGGGCCCAGGGCGGCTCGAGGACACGGGGACAGGGTGGGGCTTGGTCCCTTGGTGGTCAGGGTCGGGCACCACAAAACCTGGAGGCTCTGTGCCCGGGACGGCCCCGAGAAGGTGCCCAGCTTGGGGAGGAAGGGGCACCCCAGGCATGGGGTGTCTGTGGAGGGCTCGTGGGGTGCAGGGCCCCAGGCAGGGCCAAGCCCCTCGTCAGGACACGTGGGCCGGTGCAGAGGCTGAGCAGAGCCCGTCCAGGGAACACACAGGCTCGGACAAGGCACCAGAGGCCCCGCCGGCTCCTAAGCACCATGGCAACTCGTCTCCCACTTTCCTCCTGCCCCTCTGAGAGCCCCCCCACCCCCGCTGTCCTCCTGAAGGCCCCAAGAATCTGCGTCCGTGGTCCCTCCTGCCCAGGCCCCCTCTCTCCCGGGGTGAGCTCGGGCTCTAAAAGGACGAGGGCCAAGGTTCGGGGGAGGCTGGGGAGGGCACAGGCTAAGGCTCCAGCTGTCCCGACGCTAAGCAGCTGCTTGCTGGGCCTCGGCTGGTGGAGCTACGAAGCCTCACGAGGCCACGGAAAATGGCCACAGACCTATCGTACAGAAACTGGCATCCCACGAGGGTACCACGGCAGCGGCTGTGAGGATGAGGAGCTGGTGGCCACACGGCCTGACGTGGAGGTTCTCCTACATCTGTGGTGACCGTGCAGTGGGGTCATTTATCCCGAGATGCTGGGAGCCACTGCACCCTACGGCTGTCAGGTTCAGGTCACGCAGAGCTGGTCCAGCTCAAAGATCCACGGCGGGGTGGGAACCGCGGCCGCACGCAGCCCGCGGCATGCGCACACAGTGTGCCCTGACCCCAGACTCCCCACGGAGCAGCCAGCAGCTCAGCCGGTGGCAGGTGCACCCAGACCACCGGCCCGTCCCTGCACCCACACTCACTCTGGCTTTCCCTCCCCCGCCCAATGTCATCTCTAATCAGCAGATAATGTCACGGCTCAGTCGTGCGGGAACAGCACTGGATGGCAGCCACTGCGGCAACGGCGCTCAAACCTCATCTCTGTCCTCGTGTCACAGCTCTGAACTCAAAGGACAGAGGCCGTTGGTGTCTTCCGAGCCCCTCTATCTGTGACCATGTCATTCTCTGGTCCTCACACGCAAACAATGATTTTGATGAGGTTGGACTCTTGGCTTTTATCCACGCAGACCCCTGGAGATGCTGAGGTCCTGTGGCCGCGCTGGGTCCCCTCCCTCCGGGAGTGTGGGGACCCCTGGGATGTTCCCCGTCCCGTGGGATCGCTGCGGCCGAGGACGCGAACTGCCCGGATGGGCGGGGCAGGCATGGCAGGGGGGCGTGCAGTGGGCTGGCCCCGAGGGGACCAGGCTGGGCTGACGCGGGAGCCCGTGCTACTGGAACACCATGGCCCGCAACCCGCAACCCTGAGCCAGCAACCAGGTGACATCCCAGAGCCCAGACGCCTCTGTGCTGTTGGTGGCCAAAGCCACTCTGCGGCGTTTCCCGAGGGAGGCAGCAGCCTCCAGGGCCAGCCTCTCCCGCGTGGACCTGGCAGGCCACAGGCTCAGCTGCGGAGTCGCAGCCACACTCCTGGCGGGGTGATCGCGCACCAGCCTCTGAGAGGTTGCCATGGCAACTGCCAAGCGCTGTCTTCTCGCTCAGCAGCAGCCGAGGAAGGTGGTGGCTCTGGGGGGGGAGGGGCACACTGTGGGCTCCGCCAGGGAGTGGGGGTTTGGGGGGTCCTGGCCGGACAGCGCCTCCCTCTTCTCGCCCCTGTCCAGGTCCATCTGAAGACCTGGGGTCACAGCGAGGACAAGAGGGTCCTCGAGATGGCTGGGGTCTGTGCCAACAGCACTTTTTACCCCAATTATCTTAGTTCTTTTCCCCAAACTGGGAAATGCAGGGGCCTGGGCCTTGGTCCCGGGGCCGGACTGTGCTTTCCTTCCCTGCCCAGGTACCCCCAGGCCAGCCCCTGCCAGAGGCCCGCAGCCAGGCTGGACCCTGCTGCAGGGAAGAGTCCCCAGGCCCCACAGCTGGAGGAGACCCCCACTCCTGTGGGCCTGGGTGGGCAGGGGCAGCGTGGCCGCACCCTGTGTGAGCCCTGGGCCCAGCCTCTGCTTGGGCACAGAGAGGGACAGCGTGTGCCGTGGGGGCGCAGGGCAGTGCCGGGGAGTCAGAGAGAAGGAGAAGGGAGGAATCCCCCAGAGTCCGGGCCAGGCCCTCAGGGGGACGGAGGGGAGGGTGCAGGACAGAGCCTGGGCTTCCAGCTTGGACAGCCAGACGCAGAGCCAGTCAGGCCCTGAAACGTCCATCCGGGGCAGGAGGCTCTCGGACCCCCAAAGGGACACCCACCCTAGGCCTCCTAGGGGCTGTGCCTGCAGATGCCCCACACTGGCATCCTGGGGCTCTCTGGGGTCTCCTGGCCGGGCACCCACCTTTCCAGGGCTCTGCAAGACCCCCAGTAGCTCATGGAGACCCACCACTGCCCTGCAGGCAGCATCGGGGACACACCGTCCTCCAGCTCAGGGCACACCTCGCACGTCACTCGAACAACGACTCTTTCCTCGGACCCCGAATACCTGCCATGAAGCCCAGAGTGGGCCTGGCCGTCACTCCACGAGGACCCCCACAGGCTGGCAAACCAGGCCCGACCCAGCCCACACCTGCTGCCCCAGGCTGGCTGCAAGAGCCTCGCCCGGACCCACCCAGCTGTTCCTGCCACGGGCGCAGCCGAGGGGGGCCCGGGGTCAGGTCCACACCGGGGAGGGGAAAAAAGCTGGAAAAGAAAGTCCCTCATTTATAGTAACAAAACATTGTATATAAGGACACGACAATAACAGATGTGAGAACAACCATAATAAACACAACAATGTGAAGAATTAAATGAAAAACTACGAGACTATGAGTAAAAGGCACAGACCCCCGCCTGGGTAAGACGTCACCTTTGCTCTCAACCAATCTTAAAAGACGTTCCTGTCCCACCCAGGAGACTTAATACCCGGGCTTTGTAACCGGCGGGGACATGCAATCAAAACCGTATGAGACCCCCGCCCCCGGGTGGCCGCTGTCAAGGAAAATGAAACAGAACAGAACACACAAGTGTCTGCGGGTGTGGAGGGGCTGGAGCCCCACACGCCGCTGGTGGCAACGAGAACGGCGCGGCCGCCGCGGAGAACAGCTGGTGGCTCCTCGAAAAGCCAAGCGTAGAATTACCGAAGGATCAGCAAATCCACCTCTGGTGGCAGAATCGAAAGCGGCGGCTCCGAGCGGTCTCCGCATACCATTTGTAGCAGTTTCTGCACAGCAGCCGACACGTGGACGCAAACGGTAACCACAATGCCACACGTAGACAACGCAACGCGGCTCAGCCTTCAAGAAAGGAGTGAGTTCTGGCACGGGCTGCAACCGGAGGAGCACTGAGGACGCTCTGCCACGTGAAATGAGCCGGCTCACGGGACCAGCACGTAGGATTCCACTTAACCAGGCGCAACGGACTGAACTGTCCCCTCTCGGCCTGACCCTCACGCGACGGTGGCAGGAGCTGGGGAGGGGGTAGGTCACAGGTGGGGCCCTCGTGAATGGGTTAACGCCGACGGCTCTCTCGCCCCCTCCCACCACGTGAGGACGCAGCCAAAGACTCCGTCTGCGCCAGGAAGAGGCCACCGCCAGACACCAAAGCTGCCGGGTCTGGGCCTTCCCGGCGCACAGAACCGTGAGAAACGTGTTTGTGTTTAATTCACCACCTGCAGGACTCTGTTACTTCTGCACTTGGACCTGAGCAGACCAAGACAACGAGGTACTAGAGTCGTCAAATTTGCAGAGACAGAAGACAGCATGGAGGTTGTCAGGGGCCGGGGGAGGGGAATCAGGAGTCTGTTTAATAGGGACCGTTTGAATTTTGCAAGGTGAGAAAGTTCTGGAGAGATGGTATACAACATCATTGTGGATATACTTAACGCCACAGAACTGTACACTCAAAAGTAGATAAGACGATATATTTCGTTATGTGCAATTCACCACAATATTTTAAAAACTGAAAACAAAAAAACGAAAGCCAAACACCAGAAACAATGAGCTTGCACACCCGTTTCCTGGCGCTGGGCCTCAAAGGGCGGAGCAGCTGCAGGCCAGGGGTCCTTTGGCGGGACACGGACACACCCACCGGGCGGCTCCACGGCCTAGATCTGGTGCTGGGTGCAGCAGGGCCCATGGGCACCTGTTCTGTGGGTAAGCAGGACGGCTCTGGCCCCCCTGCATCCCCGCCCCTCCCGCGGGGGTCACCGCCCCGGCCACCACAGCAGCTGGAAGGACCGCAGGGCGTTTGCGACAGGCCTCCCCTCCCACACCCCCAACACCCACCCAGCCACCGCGGCCCACGGACCCTTGGGCCGAATCAGGCAGAAAGGAGCCCTCCAATTGTGCCGCCAACTTGCATCTGAAAATGAGACCTTGCTCTGTCACCCCCACTCTGCCGTGGCCCATTTCCCGGCCTTCAGAGCCAAGAACTGGTCAGAGGGGGCGGAACCCTGGGGCTCTGCCGACACCGCCCGGCTGTGCGTGAGGGACACGGGGCTGTGCGTGAAGGCAGTCGGGGGACACCAGGGCCGTTGGGGAGCAGGGCCTGGCCGACCCCACACACGCCAGCACAGCCCAGGCTCCCAGCAGCCCTCTGGGGCCTGACTTCTGAATGCCCGGTGACCCCGGGGTCCCCCCGTCTGAGCCCACCCCTCCTGACTGTGCTCACAGCAGCTGTCCTCCGCGGTCAGAGGGACAGTCCCCAACCCATCCTGCCTGCCCCGTGCACCCCCGTCCCCTGGGTGACAGAACTCAGGCTCAGCTGGGAGGACAGGCGGGCAGCGGCTGTCCCCACTGGCCTCTGACGAAGTCCACCCGCTCTGGCCCTCACCTCTGAGGTCAGCCGTCTTCACGACCGACAACACGCGCATGTCGTCATCAGCCCGACGCGCAGAGGTGTTGAGAATACTCTCCTGGGTGCAAGAGCTTTTCCAACAAACTTGTGCCAGGGTTGTGATCTCCCCAGGCCTCAGGTAGCCCAGCGCAGCCACCGTGTGTGACACAGTGAGAGGAGGTGACGGACCCACTCACGCGCCCTGCATCTGACGCCTGGAGGCAGCGTGATCCCGTTAAAGGGGGACGGCCGAGGATGAATAGCTGCGTGGCCAGGCCTCCCGGGACAGCTGAGGGGAAAGTGTCCCCGCAGAAGTGACTCATCCTCCAGAGCCCTTTCCAGAGGCTCGTTAGGCCTCTTTGAATTATAATCACCCTCGGTCCCTGCACAGCACGCGGGGCGATCAGGACGGGAGGACGCAGGAGCGGGAGGCCGTCCCAGCGGCCGGTTTGGAGGACAGGAGGGACGGGGACGGGCTGAGGACCTGTCACCTGCACACCCTTGCAGCCGGGCACGGCCTCTGCACTGGCCGCTATTTTGGCCTCCAAGAGTCACGGCGGCTCCTGGGCGCCGAGGTGTCGGCCGCACCGTGGCCCGGTCTGGTGCCCAGCACCCGCCTACTCCGCGGGAGGGGCGGCTACGACCTCGCTGGCGGACCTGGAGCCGCCGCCCAGGGGAGGCTGCTGGGCGGAGGGGACGCTTGTCTAGCGCCACTGTCCCGCCACGGCCGCGTGCTGGGCCCGCCCTGCCCCGGGCGCTGCCTTACCTTGCCGAAGCTGCCCTTGCCGATGGCCCGCAGGATCTGGAAGTGGTCGAAGTTCACTGCGGAGGGAAACAGAGGACGCAGGTGAGGTGGCAGAAAGGTGTCGGCTCCAGCCCCACCGCGGAGCAGCTCCCCACCCGGCACCCCCTGCAGCCTGCCCAGGGCCCCCCGACCCGGAGCGGGGCCAGTCGGGGGGCTCCAGGCTGAGCCCAGGCAGAGACACCGGCCTGGGGCCAGGCCGCGCCCTCTTCTCAGGACTTTTGGGGCGCGCACAGCCCACAGAAGGGATAGGGCATGAACCGGCCACACAGCACCTGAGTGCCAGGCTGAGCACGGCTTCCTTGTGCCCCCGCACCCAGCGACCCCCCCACTGAAAGTTGCCTCCCACCAGTGGGGACCCCAGCGGGGGGCCCAGGGGGGTCAGCGAGCCGCGTGCACAGGCACAGCATCCTGGGCCCGGCCATCGCCGCAGGAGCAGGCCATGTCCCCTACCCGTGCCCCCCCCCCCCCGCCCCCCCCCCCCCCGTCTGCCGGGATTCGCTGCACACACCTGGGGGCCCACAAACAGCCCCAAGGTTAATGACGGGGTGAGGCACAGAACTGTGGCTGCACCCGTGACCCGGCGTGGCCCAGGAGCACCTGCACCAGGCACGGGGTGATCCAAGGCCCGCTCGAAACGACAAACACGTCATCTCTGACCACAATTGT